AAAAAAATTATATAAAAATTACACAAAAAATTATATTTATAATACTAGTCGATAATCCATAATCCAATCCCACAAAATCTTGAGTTAGGTGACCTTGTAATTTATTAAAACTAAAATTCAATTAAAAATTTCAATTCTTTCCTTATTTTCCTTTATTCATATCTAAAAACTAAAATTAAAACATAAAATTTCACCTTTTCTGTTTATTTTTAATAGATTTAATTTAAAAAAAAATAAAAATATCATAATTTTTTGATAAAAGTTTATATTTATTTTTAATTAAGTATCATTTAAATAAAATTTTTTGTTTAATATATATTATAATTATCTTTTTAAAATAAAGGTAAACTAAAAGTAAACGCATTTAAATAATATCTTAAAAAAATAAATGATTAGATTTAAATGCCTTTAATAAGATACTATATAAGTTTATTAAAATTGAAAGGATAGAGCACTAAATAAGAAAGATTTACATCCAAATATAGCAATAACATGTAAAAAAATTGTAGTATATTGCGATAAAGTAGTGAAATTTTTCATTTAAAATTAAAATTATACTTAACCAAATTATAAAAAATCAAAAATTAATTCTATCAGGTGTAAGGATAGGTTCAAGGTGTCGAACCTTGGACGTACGATGGTAATTCCTTTATAATCGAAGTGAAAGATAAATCCAACACTTCCCGCTCAAACAACTGCATGACAGCGACAATAGGCGTGCTCGCACTTGATTCCTTATGACAAGCTGTACAGCAGTTACGATGGACATTCTCACATCTGAATATCTTTCAATTTCTCGGTCTCGAAATAACCGTCTAGAGAGACACATCAGATTCTGATTATCTTGCTTGGCATGCCACGTAAGTTCCTCACTGAAGCCTATAAATACTCCCCAGTGACCACGTCAAAAAGGTGATTGAAATCAACTCTAAACTCCTTTTATCTCCATTCTAAAGGTAGTCCCGATTATTGCTGACTTAAGCATCGGAGTGTCTACCCTGAGTTCCATCTCGGGGTTTTGCAGGTCAATCCGGAATGCAGACACGGATTGAAAAAAAACTTCTGGTTTGGTGCAATTACATAGGTCAATCAGGTTGACTTAGCCAACTGTGATCTAACCCAGTCAACCCTCCAGCCAATCAAGGTTCTTCAATTTAGATTTGGGGGAAGCATATGAACTCATTAATTAGGGGCAAGCGCGAAGTCAGGAATTTTAGTTAGGGATCGGTTTTTTAAATTTTAAAATAATATATTGTAATTTTAAAAGTTTATTTTTATATCATATATTAAAATAATATTTGATGAGTTTTCATGTTATAAAATATATTTATAATATTGTCTACACTAAATGACTGAATTATTTCCTTTTCAATATAAATAATTAAAGTGTTTAAGAGATATTCATCCTCTATTTTACTGTGAAGTCTCGTTTTTATAATTTTCATAATAGAAAATACTTTTTCTATTATTACTGTAGAAATTGGAAGTGTAAGCATCAAAATAATTAACTTGTAAATGAGACTATAGACCTCTGATTTTCTTGTTTTTACAAGCCATTGACATAGTTCAGAAATACGACAACATCCTATC